GGAATTATTGCAACCTCATTTTAAACCATATTCAAGGCCATCTGTTATTCTTGTTGTTGGCTTAACCCTCACAGTTCTCCTTAACCAGTGGCACAACAGCAAGCACCTAGGCCAATGTCCGCCTGTGCAGGGAAACTGTTGAAGGCCTGTGATTAATACTTTGGCCTGTTGGGCGTTCTCAATTTGGCTGATTGGGGTATCCAATAAATTCGCTGTTATATTGATATATATTTACCTACATATATAATAATAATAATAATAATAATAATAATAATAATAATAATAATAATAATAATAATATACTAGTAATATAATAATAAATGTGGCCAAGGTGGGCGGAGCGTCCAGAACCTGGGGGAATAGTGCGTCCCTGGGGGCCCGGCCCTTGACCCAAGGCAAAGGTTGAGCGGGCGCCATGCATTGCTTCCCTTTGATGAGCTGAGCTGACCGGACATTGGCAAGGCAATTGGTGAGACAATTAGCTGGGCCATGTGGTGAAGGCAACATATATAGGGCAGGGGTGGGGGGAGGAACATCGAGCAGCCGGAAAAGGGGAGCGAGCATCGAACAGCCAGAAGGGGCAACCAGAAATTGCTACCGGTTTGGCAACCCAGGCCAAATTGTTGCTATAGGTTCTCCCGAGCCGGTGTGAACTGGCTGAATACCACCACTGTGTATACATCAAAATTATAAATTGCAGTTGTTGTTGTTTTAATATCTTCTTTGTGACTAGAACTGTGAATTTTTTTAGTTAGCAGTTTCATAAATTCACCATGAGTGTACTTACATGGCTGTTCTTTATGAATTTCTTTATGAATTTGTAGCTTTTACTTTATGTCATTTAGAATAAAGAGCATCTCAAATCAAGCTTCATTCCTGATGAGAAAATGGACATGCCTATGTTTTCTTGAAACAACTTGATAGCAGTACCCAAGTGGTACTATTCTTTCTAACTGGGTTTTTTTTTTCAAACTTTCAGTCTAGCTTTCAGCCCTGAAATTTGCCAGTGATCTCCCAGCCAAGTCCTAATCTGCTTTGATTTGATAAAACTTTTGGGATGCTGCCAGATATTGTAATAAAATAATGTAAGTAAGCCTGATCAAATCAGGTGTATTGAAACATTATAACCTCAACTGAGTGGAAACTACTACTATTGGATCAACATTGTTCTTCAGCTACTAAGGAACAGGTTTTGACAAAATAAACATTAACATTATTCTGCTTTTATGAAAATAATCAGAGAAATTCTTTGTAGGATTAATATTCCTGCAAGATTCACAAAAATGAAGACATAGTACATCAAGAATATCAGTATCCAGATTGGGATTAAATTACTGAAGTATAATTCATATCTGCTTTTTCATTTTAATATTTGTGTGGATTGAAATTGAACAAGCACATTTCACTTTTTCAATTTCCTGGGGTATTTTTCCTCTACAAATACAGAGAGTTTTTTTTTCCAGTAGCCATTCATAAATTGGCTTATTCAGTACTGAGTAATTCTGAATGAGAATCAGTGTTCTCATCCTAGAATGGGAAAGTTGTCTGTAATTCAAAACATGTGATTCCACTGATAAATTGACTCTTGTTTAGCTTATATGTAGAGCCTTTGTAGGACTATGGTGAAAATTTCCAAAATAGATTCACAAAGCAAAAAATGTCTAGGCGCTTGCAGTTTCAGTAGCACTTCACAGTTACTGCTCAGCAAAAACACTGTAGAGTGAATATCACTCTAATGCCAAAGGGAAAACTATTTGAAATGTACTATGTTCAATATACAGTACAATTTTTGAAGAATGCCTGATCTTAGACAATGTCAGTGGCTTAGACAAAAGAAATAAATTATTAATATCATCTGATACCTATGTTGAATTTGGAATGAAGGGGAAGGAGGGGGATTTTAAGCTGTCAGATATGTCTTGATGTCCAGACAATTTTGTTTTAAAGGTAATTTCTGTAATTTCACTGAGCTGTTAATGGATATTACTAGCCAGATTGAGTTTATCATACTTTCATATTATTATGTTCTCACCACCATTTAAGGTAGTGTTATTGCATTGTATTAATATGTTACAGTCAGGGACAAAGAGGTGTCAGAGCAATCTTCTCAGCAGTATGGATAACAAATACTCAAGGTACCAAAATCATCACCAATGTTGTAGCATTTCCTGGGCTGGGGTATATTATTTAGTAGTTTTCTAACCAAATAACCAGAGGGTTTTTTAGTTTTTTTGATACCAATTCTTTGTGGGTTAACACATACATATACATGCACACTTTAAATATCCGAAAGTATTTGATAACTTATGGGAAGGAATTTAATTCACAGTGGTAAATTTTGTAACCGCAGGGTTATCTTCTCTAGCAGTCCCTGTATTTCTTTAAAATTTGCTCCAGTTTAGGGAACTGAAAGGATATTACTAAGCTATTGCTATCCTTTTTTTTTAAAGAAAAAACAAGGGTTTTAAAAAAGGTAAAATCCTTTATCTCATTCTTCCAAAGCTCATTCATTTTCATCCTCATATATTGTTCAAGATTTAGCTAGTTCTGTTGTTCATATACTATTTCAGTCAACTAGAAATTTATGTCCATTCCTGTACAAAAGTTCTCCCTTCTTCCTGTTTTTCCTTACTTACATTATATCACCCATCCAGGTAACTGCTTCGTGACATTCCTAAGAATGAATAAGCCCCAAGTAATAAGCCATGAATTATTCATGAGTATTTGTAAATAACAGGGTGCAGAAGAGACCCTGCAGAGAAAATTTCTGTGACTATTCATCAAATTGTCAGATGCTTTGCTTGTCAGATACATGCAGTTTTTTCCTCTTAAAATTACCATAGAATAGAAGTAACAAACTTAACCCTGTACTTTCAGGTTCAAAAAGCTAGTAAATTACTGTGTTAAAAATGATTTACTTTAATTTTATATTCAGAATAACTGATCCATTTCCTGAGTGAACTGATTCACTTCCTAGAAGTGTTCTTCAGTATTACAGTCAAGAAAATACTTGTCTAATTTGTATAATCTGTAAGCCGCCTTGAGTTGCCATGGGTGAATAGGCAGCAATGTAAATTCAATAAATAAATATTAGATTAAAGCAAATTCTAGGGTTATCTTATGTAATCCATCTGTTTTATTATATTGTATTTTTATTTGGACATGTATGTGTGTGTATATGTTCTCATGATGCACAGATATGTACCCTTGTATTTGTGTATTAAGTATCTGTAAACCAATCTGGGGGACAATGGAAAATGGAAGCAGATTGAAAGATATATTTTCTAATGATGTATTCCTCAATCCACATAAATAGGCCTCTGGATTAGGAAGGCTCCATGAGTTTTTCTGTGGAGTTTCTTCTATGTTGATCTTGGAATTGCTTGTTTAATGGCCCTTAAAATATCTCAGAGCTGTGCATTTTGAACTTGAACTTTCCTTTCCTGAATATGGTTTCCTGTTGGGAAAAGTGAGGACACAAAGTGAAAGCTGCAGTGAAGATTCTGGAGATCATAGTGAAAGAAAAATACTTTTCAGACTATGGGTATGCTTTGCAATTGGAAGCAAGATATTAATTCTACCATATACTATTTGTTCAATTGCGATATGTCCCTAAATGTATCATAATCTACTGGAAATATACCACCAGTCCCAGGAATTTCACTGCAGATGAAATATATTCTGGCTTCAGATCCCTTTCCCTATCTGGTTATATCTGATCGTTCCATTCAGAAAAGTAGAAAAGCATGCTTTATTTTGTATAATTGACAAGAAGTGGAAATGCATACAAGATCATGGTTATATATCTCAGTCAGTGTTGATTGGCGGGGAGAGATGCAGCCTTTGCCCACTGCTTTGTGGGATTCTGCAGAGCTTGGTCACTTCCCATCTTGACTATTGCAACGCGCTGTACATGGGGCTGCCCTTGAAGAGCATCTGGAAGCTCCCGTTGATGCAAAATGCAGCAGCCCGCAGGATTTTGTGCAGACCCCGGTGAGCATATGTATCACCTCTCCTGCAGGAGCTGCATTGGCTGCCGATTTGCTTCCAGGTGCAATTCAAGGTGCTGGTTGTCCTCTTTAAAACCCTTCATGGCTTGGGACCAGATTATCTGGGACCATCTCTTGCCCAGCCCATCAGAGTGGGGAGGCAGGGAATGCTGCATGTCCCATCCCCAAGGGAGATAGATACACCTGGTGGGACCCAGAAGAAGGGCCTTTTCCTTGGTGGCTCTGTCTCTCTGGAACATCATTCCCCCAGAGATTAGAATGTCCCCCACTCTATTACTGTTCCAGAAGGTGCTGAAGACCTGGTTCTGCCAGCAGGCCTGGGGAACCCAGAGCATGATGGTGCCTATTAAATGGCTCGTGTGATCTGCTGTTGCCAGGGCAGGGGGTGGGAGGTGAGGGAGTGATTTTGTTATATTGTACTATATTAATTTATTTCATTCTTTTTGTTAGTTTTTATTGTTTTAAATGTGGTTTTATATTCTGTAAGCCCCCTTGAGTCGCCATGGGTGAATAGGTGACAATATGAATTCAAGAGAGAGAGAGAGAGAAAGAGAGAGAGAGAGAGAGACTGACTGACTGACTAGATTTTGCTTCCTTTCCTATGCCTGCCCATATTTCTATTCTTTCCTTTCTTACTGCACCTTTCCAGTGCCTTCCATTACCATTACATGTTTAGGTTCTGCTTTTTCTTAATGTTTCTCTGTTTAGTATTTTTTTTTATCTTGACTTTTTCCTCCCTTTTGCACCATTTAATCCCCGTCTACACATACTTTAATGTTTTTAAAGCATTTGTTAAGTTGAGGCTCTTCCCAATTTCTCAAATAAAAAATTTAAAAGAATTAACTTTTCCGATACTCGCGGCAGAAGCTGCATTAGTATTTGCTTATCTGTTTAGTCTTTCATATGTTCTATTTCAGTGAAGTGACAAGATTTTAACTTGTCACTTAACTTTTTCTTAACTAATTGCTAATAAATACTTCATAATTTCAGGCCCAACATAGAGATGCTTTTATTGAAGAACGTTATGGAAAATACAACATCAGTGATCCATTGATGGCTCTTCAGAGAGATTTTGAAGCACTGAAGGAAGAAAATTATGGTGAAAAGCAACCTGTTTGTGCCAATCCTTTATCCATCTTGAAGGTAGTAATGAAACATTGCAAGAATATGCAGGAAAAAATGTTGTCTCAACTGGCTGCTGCAGAGAGTAGACACAGAAAGGTGGGTTTCCATCTCCTTGGAAGCTTGATGAAAAGTAATAACTATTCTTATTTAGGAATTCATAGAACACAGAACACTACAGTATTATATAGTTACCTACTTTTAATTATTAAATATGCACTATTATATAATGTTATATAAGAATTGCTTTGACTAATTGAGTTAGATGGTTAAAAAATTAAATACATACATACATACATACATACATACATACATACATACATACATACATACATACTCTGATCATTTTTGTAAATAACTGCATTTTTTAAAACAAAACAAAAATATTAAAATTGAAATGTATCAAACAGTAAATTAAAAATACTGTGATTTTAAATTTGTATAATTACAACCAGCTGTATATTTTGCATCTATTCAGTTGCCTGGTATTTATATTTATGAATCTTTGGTATATATTGTTCATAAGTTCATAGTTACTTATAGGTCATAGTGATACCTTTGTTTTACCATTGTTGAAACTTTGTTGTAGAAAATTTACTTTGGTACAATTTATTGCATTGTATTTATATTTGTATTTTTCTAAAAGTGGTATTTCAATTTCAATTTTGTTACCCTGTTATTTAAGTTTGAATGTAAGTGTAAAGCTACAAACAGTCCTCTTTATTATAGTCTAATTAAAAGAAATTAAAACTTCAAGAAATAGAATTGTATTTTTCTTTAATATACTATAGAATGTAAAAGCTGTTTAGATGGGTCATCATGCAAATAGCTGTTTAATTGTTCCTTTGCTTTCAAATTACATCCCAGGGCCAGTTTAATGTAGTGGCTAAAGGCATCAGGCTAGAAACTAGGAGACCCGTGAGTTTTATTCTCCCCTTGAGTACAAAGCCAGTTGGGTGACCTTGGATTAGTCATTTTCTTTCAGCCCTAAGAAGGTGGCAATGACCTTTTTTTTTTTTTGGGGGGGGGGGGGGGGGCTTTTCAGGGAAACTGCGGGATTTGAAGTTACGACAGCCACATACACCTATACAAACACCACATGGTCACATTATGACTGTTTGATAACCAACCCTTACAGCCATTTGCAGCATTCTCCAATATTGCATGATTTTCAGTATTGGGTTTTTTTTTGCCAGTTTCCAGCATTTACTTCTAATTTCCAGCAAAGAATGTCCATTGAGTGAAATGTATTCATTTAATGACTGTGGGGTTGACTAATGCAAATATGTCATAAAAATGAATCTACTCATAATGACCAGAATAGTTTACAAATATAGTTCTGGGTTCAATTACGGTTGCAAGTCAAAGATTACCAGTATAATTAAATAATAAGGATAAGTTTGAAGAATATTAAAAGGTATGCTGGTGGTGGTAGATGTCTGTTTTACCATTGCCCTGGATTCTTTCAAAAAGATCTATTCATCAGCAAAAGTTAAGGAGTATCTGTATCTGATGAGTTTGCTTTAAATTTTGCTTTGGACGGATAGAAATCTTCTTTCTTTACACTTGGATGCAGTAGTAATTACTTTTCTAAATGGGATTGATAATGTTCATTTTGGTTTGAAAGGTAATTCTGGATCTTGAAGAAGAAAGGCAACGACACGCCCAAGATACTGCTGAAGGCGATGATGTCACTTATATGCTGGAAAAAGAACGAGAACGGCTCACACAACAGGTATGTCTTCTTCCCAAGTAGCAGTCAGAGGGAAATGATTAATTAATGTTTAACACAAGAGAACATGCCTTCTATGGGTGGGGGAACTTATGTTGGTCTCTATAGTCTTGGGTTTTTCCTTTCTCCCTCAAGCAGAAAATTAGATACTCCATGTTGTATTTACTTCATAATTTATTATTGTTCTGTTTACTCTATAACTTTTTACTTATTTGAATTCAAATACAAATATTAAAAACTCCAATTTTTTCCTCTGAAAATTGTTTATATCCATTATTTACTCTTATTTATTTTTCTTAGTTTGGATGTTAAGCTTTTAACATTTTTAAAAATATACTTTTGTTTTAGTTGGAATTTGAAAAATCTCAGGTGAAGAAGTTCGAGAGGGAACAAAAAAAGTTGGCTAGTCAACTGGAGGAGGAGCGTGCACACCACAAGCAACTTTCTTCTATGCTTGTGTTGGAATGTAAGAAGGCCACAACTAAAGCTACAGAGGAAGGGCAAAAGCTTGGAGAGTTAAATATGAAGTTGGAAAAGGAAAGAAGCAAAGTAAACCAGTTAGAGGAGGAGCTAGCAGCCAAGAAGAAAAGAGGCTTGCAAATGGAAGCACAAGTTGAAAAACAGTTATCTGAGTTTGACATTGAACGAGAGCAGTTGAAAGCCAAACTTAACCGGGAAGAAAACCGCACTAAAGTCCTAAAAGAAGAAATAGAGGATCTGAGAAAAACATTACAACAAGTAGAAACTTCTTTGAAAACTGCCAGCAACAAAGTTGAGAGCACTTCCCCATATGTCTCAATGGTGTCCACAGCAACTGTTACAGAAACCTCCTTAGGTAGGTCAGTGGCTTCTCAGACTAGTAATCACTTGACAGAAAACATGAACCAAGAGTCTTCAGTCAAATTGGCACACACGTTACCACTGGCCGCAGCTCTCCATCCCTATGCCAAGGCAAACGGACATTGTGACGCTGATACACTAGCAGATATTGAGGCTTCTCAACCTGCAGTAGAGAATCTACACAAGGGCAAGTCTGTTGGGCCAGCTGCTGAGAATACTGCAGAAAGTAGCATCTCCCCAGTAAGAACAGAGTCTCTTTCTACTTCAGTGCCACCACTCCCTTCCAATGGAATTTCCTTGTCTCCCAGCAATACTGCTGCTTCTTCTCTGACATCTTCGCCATGCTCCTCCCCAGTCATGACTAAGCGTCTACTGGGAACATCAACCAGCAACCCAAGCTACCAATCTTCCTACCAAGTGGGAATCAATCAGCGCTTCCATGCTGCTCGTCACAAATTCCAGTCTCAGGCAGATCAAGATCATCAATCAAGTGGTCTCCAAAGTCCACCATCCAGAGATTTGTCACCTACTTTTGCTGATAATTCTGCAGCAAAACAGCTTGCCCGCAATACAGTCACTCAGGTTCTCTCCAGATTCACCAATCAACAGGGGCCTATCAAACCAGTCTCCCCTAACAGTTCACCTTTTGGCACAGACTACCGAAATCTCGCCAATGCTATGAGCCCCAAAAGTGAAACTAGCCCAGGTAAGGTCTCCGGTCCTTTAAGTCCCCTTTCACCTGGAATTAAATCACCCACTATACCCAGAGCAGAAAGAGGAAATCCTCCACCAATTCCTCCAAAGAAACCTGGTCTGGCTCCTTCTCCAGTAACTGCCACGCCACCAGTGAAAACTTCAAATCAGGCATCTCTGGGTTCTCCTATGGACATGGCAACTAGTTGTTCAAGCAACGCTGTTGTAGCCAATGGGAAAGATATTGAGATTTTACTGCCAACCAATAGCTAGTCTTAAAAAGAGTAATATTCCAGGTGTTTGCAATTCCTAGAGCTGAAACTCAGTCTTATTCACTCCATGTTATTTATTTATGTACTAACAGAATCTTCTTGTATTACACATTTGTTTCTTTGTTTTATACAGTGTAGAAAATAATACAACTTGTACAATTTTTTGAACGCTCAGAGCCTCAAGGCATCTCATGGCAGCAGGGAAATCAAACAAAAAGAGAAGCAGTTGTTCTGTTCCGGGAGCTGACCTATGGACTATGACAACAGAATACTCATTTTTAAATTATGCAGAAAAACACTCCATGCAAACTTCTATTCCTTTTCTAAGAAGTGCCTGAGCTAAAGCCTGCAGATATGAATGTGATTCTCTGTGATACCAGTAGGCATTATCCAACTGTGGAAAATAACAATTTCTGAATCATGAATGTTTGAAATCAATATGGTTCTTAACCCTTTCCAATATATTTATTGGTAATGTGTTATGAAATGTCCCAAAGGTGAACATTAAACTGGTTTTCTCTGTTATGAACAAAATAATAATAATGTAGCTGTTGTCAGATGCACTTTGGCCTTGTTGCTAAATTGTATGCAACCCGTGTTTTTCCTATGATACAAACTTTGAAAAGAGTTGTTGGCTTTAAGCAACCAAGTTACCAGTCTTTACAAAATATTGTCCACTCCTTACAAGTTTCTCTCCATAGAGCAAAATAAGTAAAACTTTAATAAGCATTCTACTGTTGTGTGTAGAACTTCTGAGAGTAGGGCCTTTGCTGTTCCTTGAGAAAAAAAATTAAATACTACTTGAAATCAGAAAAGACTAATCAGGATTTTCAGATGTTTATATATAAAAAAGGTGGGATCAGTACTAAAAGATCCAAAGCAATAAGTAAAGAATTGCTTAATATCATTGTAATTCAGGCAGGCATAGGTCTCGCTAGATAAGTTTTATTGTCTTAGAGAATTGCTCATTTGGCAGCAATATGAAAACCAAATTCTTAAGCTTTCAAAGATGCAGTTTGTATAGAGAGCTGTATACATAACTAGACACAACATTTTTAATCTTAATAGTGATCACATTGACATTATTTATACCTCAGATCACTTGTACAATTACTTTTAAGGCTTTATGTATTTGAGAAAGTCCATTTTCCTAAGAAAAATAATAAACTGGGACCAATATAAGACTCAACAAGCAGTTTTCTTTGTAATAAATCTTCAGTAATGCAAACTTTAGGGCAAACGTTTATGCCTTGATCATGTCAGTGGGGCCAATATACTTATATAGCTGTTCATGTTTGAAATTGTTTCAGGAGTATTTCATTACTGGGATAATTCAGATCAAGGTTAATGATAAACTAGGTGTCTTTAATTTGACCTTAGGAAAAATATGTGAATGCCTCAACAAACTCAGTGTGCACTAATAATAAGAATCACAACATAATCTTTTGAAACTATTGCAACTTGCTGCTTTGACATTCAGTGATCTGGTTTGGGAAACTCTTGAGTTGTGGGTGGTATTGTGAAATTTAGGAGCAAATATCTGGGTTTAGATGGTGCTGGTTTTTTCAGGGCTTTTAAAACAAATAAGGGCTGAAATTGGTGCATACTTCTTTTCCGGTCATTGTCTCATATATTTTGCCTTTTAAAAACAAAAATAAGCCAAAAAAATCTAGCCTCCATCAATTATAAGTGCCACACATCCATTTGCCACCACAAAATTGCCCATTCCTGCATCAGACCAAAGTTCTTCATTACAATTTTTTTTAAAAGCATTACTTCAGGATGCCGCTATATAGGATATAGACATTGTTCTCCCCCCCACTTTTTTTTTTAAAAAAATGGGATTTCTAGATTATTGTATTTTAACAGTGTCAAATATTTCTGAGGTTGCATTATATTCCACAATATATTGATACAGGAAATCATACAAACCTAATGCTATCCTTCATATATTATGGTCTATATAATTTTTTCTCTAGGTGTTTGGATATCGATGCATAGGAAACAACCCTGATAAGCACATAAACAATTCAGTTTTATAATGCAACCATTATGGGGAAGGCTATAAAACTGAACTCAAGTGTTTTGATGGAATTGTGTCTTACCTTAAAAGAGGTTATTGTAGCAGCTCTTAAAATATTTCTATATGTTTACTAACTTGTATCCTTTCTTTATAACATGACACTATAGAGATTTATACACAGCAATGAATTTCATTAGGAAATGCACTGAGTACTATAGTCCACAGAAATATTGGGGACAGTGTAGAAGGAAATGTATTTTGTTGCTAATAGCCAATATCCTGAGATTAAGCACAACTTAATCCTCTAAGATTTTGAGGGTTAATATTTCAGTTTTCTGTATAGTTAAAATATGGAATTGAAATGTTTAATATTCTATTGATTGTGTATTGAGAAGTGTCATGGACTAATTAGATTTTAATGAAGTTAAAACTGTATAACCTAGTATTAATTGTTCATTAACATCTGTATATTTGTAAAGTCAAATGTATGAAACAGAAGTCTTTTTATCATTTTTATAGATGGCAGCATTAAACATGTTAAATGTTCGTACTATCAATAAAGGGTTTTATTTTTCTGCGGAGTGTTATATGCTATAGTATAGTTTAAAAGTCAAGTGGTTTGTGTTAACTAATAGTATGTAAACATTTCACTGACAGCTGTGCCTAAAATCAATAATTCAGGAAAATACATAAATACATCCATTAATTGGCATTATAAAGACAATGGTTTTTAAAAGAAATTAGGACTACAGATTTAGTGCTGATGATGATATTTAATGATACTGAGAAAGGTCACCATTTAAAACATTGTTTTTAAGGGCTTTATCAATGGTCAGCTATTCTAGGGCTTATCAGTCTTTATTACAGAACAATATTTTAACTGTTAATATGATACCTATCTTAACACTATTGGGTTAAGATCACAACCATTCATTTTTGCTCCATTTTGTGATTAATATAAGCTTTTCCCCTACAATATAAATACACTGCTCAAAAAAATAAAGGGAACACTTAAACAACACAATGTAACTCCAAGTCAGTCACACTTCTGTGAAATCAAACTGTCCACTTAGGTAGAAACACTGATTGGTAATCAATTTCACATGCTGTTGTGCAAATGGAATAGACAACAGATGGAAAGCATAGGCAGTTAGCAAGACATCTCCAATAAAGGAGTGGTTCTGCAGGTGGTGACTACAGACCACTTCTCAGTTCCTATGCTTTCTGGCTGATGGGTTGGTCACTTTTGAATGCTGGCGGTGCTTTCACTCTAGTGGTAGCATGAGATGGAGTCTACAACCCACACAAGTGGCTCAGGTAGTGCAGCTCATCCAGGATGGCACATCAATGCGAGCTGTGGCAAGAAGGTTTGCTGTGTCTGTCAGCGTAGTGTCCAGAGCATAGAGGCACTACCAGGAGACAGGCCAGTACATCAGGAGATGTGGAGGAGGCCGTAGGAGGGCAACAACCCAGCATCAGTACCACTACCTCCGCCTTTGTGCAAGGAGGGACAGGAGGAGCACTGCCAGAGCCCTGCAAAATGACCTCCAGCGGGCCACAAAAGTGCATGTGGCTGCTCAAACGGTCAGAAACAGACTCCATGAGGGTGGTATGAGGGCCCGACGTTCACAGGTGAGGGTTGTGCTTACAGCCCAACACCGTACAGGACGTTTGGCATTTGCCAGAGAACACCAAGATTGGCAAATTCGCCACTGGCGCTCTGTGCTCTTCACAGATGAAAGGTTCACACTGAGCACATGTGGCAGACATGACAGGGTCTGTAGACGCCGTGGAGAACATTCTGCTGCCTGCAACATCCTCCAGCATGACCGGTTTTGCAGTGGGTCAGTAATGGTGTGGGGTGGCATTTCTTTAGGGGGCCTCACAGCCCTCCATGTGCTCGCCAGAGGTAGCCTGACTGCCAATAGGTACTGAGATGAGATCCTCAGACCCCTTGTGAGACCATATGCTGGTGCGGTTGGCCCTGGGTTTCTCCTAATGCAAGACAATGCTAGACCTCATGTGGCTGGAGTGTCAGCAGTTCCTGCAAGACGAAGGCATTGATGCTATGGACTGGCCTGCCCATTCCCCAGACCTGAATCCAATTGAGCACATCTGGGACATCATGTCTCGCTCCATCCACTAACGCCACATTACACCACAGACTGTCCAGGAGTTGGGGGATGCTTTAGTCCAGGTGTGGGAGGAGATCCCTCAGGAGACCATCTGCCACCTCATCAGGAGCATGCCCAGGCGTTGTAGGGAGGTCATACAGGCACATGGAGGCCACACACTATTGAGCCTCATTTTGACTTGTTTTAAGGACATTACATCAAAGTTGGATCAGCCTGTAGTGTTGTTTTCCACTTTAATTTTGAGTGTAACTCCAAATCCAGACCTCCATGGGTTGCTAAATCTGATTACCACTGATAATTTTTGTGTAATTTTGTTGTCAGCACATTCAACTATGTCATGAACAAAGTATTTAATAAGAATATTTCATTCATTCAGATCTAGGATGCCTTATTTTTGTGTTCACTTTATTTTTTTGAGCAGTGTAGTTTCCTTCTATGCTCGTTATTTTTCTTGGATAGGAAATACATATTCATTAGTAGGGATGTGTTTCTTAGATATGTCTTTAGTCAGTAAAATTTATTTTCAACATGGATGTATCTAGGAGAGCAACAAATGAAACCAAAGGTGGCATACAATTTCTTTACATATATCAGATAATAGGTATATTAAATATAAATGAGGAACATTTGGCCTTTTTTGTTGCATCATGGTTCTGTAATTCACCTAGTTTATTTGTTTTTTCCCCTTTGTTGGCATGGCAATAGAGTTCTTTTATGCAAAGCCCTCACCCTGGTCTGGAATGCTGCAAAATGTACTTAACTTCAAAAGCCTATTAAAATTCCACCCACTACTTTCTACATCTTGTGCTCAAGTCAGAGAAGATAATCTCAATGGCGCCAATCTGCTCAGTCTTCTCCTTTTTTAGGAGTATGATTCACGATATACAATTCCTGCAGTTAATGATTTTGCTCAGCAAGACATAATCAAGGTGGAAATCAGTTGCATAGGCAATTAAGTCAATAGACATATCAAGAGTAATATGGGATTTTCAGAAACAATGTATACACACACATAGACTTCTTCAATTCTCAATAGTTGGAGGTAGGCAACAGTATATCAAACATACTTTAAAATAAAAGCTACTTGGTATTTTGAGAATAACACAGAATTTGGATTGATTTAAAAGTCTTATCATGGGGCAAGCTATAGATTTAGTTATTTAACTATAACTCCCTTTTTTTGTAGTAAGTATTTTCCCTTTCCATCCTTGACAACTATGATTATAAACCCTGCCTTTTTAAGGAAGAAAAAGGCATGCATAATCTTTTAAGTATCAAGGGCAATGCTGGCTGGGAACTTGCACAGAGGGTCATACACACAAAACCTTGCTTTTTTGCTTTTAAGAATAAGACAGGCCCATCCCTGCTTCCAGGGAAATTCTAATCAAATTTTGTACCCATTCTATCTGCATATTAAACTATAAACCAGAATCAGTCACAACCAATGGCAGAATCTTGTGACCATAGTCTCAAAAAAGGCTACAGTGGGTTAAATCAGATTCATACTTGGCCTGGAGAGTATCAGGAAATCTTCAGAGCTGTAAGCTTTGCTGGGAAGTCAAACATCCAGAATTAGTCAATGGCAAACCATTTCCATCTTTGTGAAGAAAACAACAGATTTTTGGAAGCCCTTGCCATTCTCATCTTCCTGGATATTTCTTGGGCCATTGTGATCTAGATTTCCTTGTCAATATATTAACAGAGATATGTAAAGATTGGAATGGAAATATTACTAATTGGGTGTGCGATACTATTTTTTTCTGGCAACATTTACACAATAGCTCCACTAGGGAGCAACCTATCCATAAATTTTATTTACTTCTCTGATCTAGCAATACTTCTAGGCTAAATGAGTTTTTAAAATAACTTTCCCAACTGGTGTCTTCCAGATGTGCCAGTTTTCATAATCCATATCCAGGATGCTCAAAGCTTATATACAGTAGATCAGGATATGAATTCCAGCCTTTTAAATTTCAAGGATTACATTACCTTTAAGCCTGGAAAAATACTTAATGCAGGACTCCACATTTTCTGTAAAGTGAGTGGACTTAACGAATTTTCAAGGGATAGTATGGTCATTCTCACAAAATAGCTGCTAGAACTGATTTTTTTTTTCTTTCGTTCAATTATGTCTGATTTTTGGAGATTGCCTGGATATTGCCTGCAGTTTCTTGGCAAGGTTTCTCAGGAGTGATTTCCTACTTTCTCCTTCCTAGGACTCTGAGAAAGTGACTAATTCTAGATCACCCATCTGGCTTTGTGCCTAATCTGGCTTCTAGTTTGATGTCTTCAGAACTACACCAAACTGGCTTTCACACAGAGCTGATATAGCCAGACGCAAAATTGCCTTTACTAGAAGACAAATGGTCCAGTAGCTCTCCACCAGAATTTTTGTTCTCTAGGATGAACTTTATTTAAACCTATCATGATATAATTTTCAGGTTATTGCAATAATATTTTCTCTTGAACTTGGGAATCTGCAGACAGAAGGAGGCAAAATCCTACAATGGCAAGTCCAGCTGTGCCACCACATTGGACAATTGCCACACCTCTTAATTCAAGTCTTCAAGTTCTTCTTTTTTACAGATGCAAGCAACCTTAATAAAACAGTTTCTTACTAAAACCTTAATAGCAGCTTCTATCACACTAAAGTTTTAGTACTGTTTATTTATTTTCCAAGGTTTTAAATGTTTAATTCCTCTAACCTGCCCCTTTATGGTGGATTCACTATACCTTATCCCACATTATTTTATTTTCTAAGTATGCCAAGATGATATATATAAGTTCAGAAATATTCAAGTAAATATCAAGAATATTTTAGAAAATACAAAGCTAGCATTCTAATATTCTGTTTTTCTTTATTTTTGATTAGTTAAACCATTTCCTTTAAGAATAATTATCCGGGTCATGGTATTTTCAGAAATAATTTGGGATCACACAACTACTTCCAAGAATAATGCAAAAAAAAAAAAAAGTGTTTCATTTTGATCAGTGACCAAGGAGCTGAAAATGATTTGATGACACATAATCAATGGCTATCTGGATTTTCCCCTGATTTTCCCCTGTGATGGTGACAAGAGTAAGTCTGCCTTCAGCCAAATCCCAAATGTTCCCTCAACCTAAAAAGGTTATCTGGTCCATCTTCTCAGCTATGTTCTCACAGGACGTAAACCCAAAGCTGAATATAGCATAACCTGATACTGTTTTAATTGATTAGGGGTTGTGAAAATTTTTGACTCCTAGCAACCACATATACAGGGTTTCTTCATGATGATCTGTCCTTAACCTGAACTTTCAGATATTCCAACAGTGCCCTCATTTCCACTGTAACTGAGCCCACCTACTTTGCTGCCTGTCATGCTCTTCTCATTCTTTCCACCCTTCCCAGCACTAAAGCCTCCAGAGAACTTGGTCTTTGCATAATATATCCTTTTAAAAAAAATCTTACAAAGGCATAAGAAAATGGTTGAATTCACACACAGGTTCAGCCACAAATTGCCTAGTCCTGTGTTATCTTTTGTCTACTAGCCTATTATCAGCCCAGCCCTCTTGTTTCAGATGAAGTTCTAGATGCTCCCATTCTTTCCTGATATAAAGAAAAGGCATGGCTGCCTAAACATGAGACCAGTAGGTGGCAGTTTTGCCTGTTGGATACTGTTCATTTTTTTCATTCAGGCAAGAGGAAATATTCTGGCCCAAATCTAAGTGATGGTTATGATCGCCCTCTTTACCTGTAAATCACTCATTGATGAAGGCATAAGCTTATAGTTTCCCGAGGTTATTGCTGAAAACCTTTCACCAAAACTATTTGTACAGAATGTGTGTGTGTGTGTGTGTGTGTGT